ATGTCGAACATCCGCAGCTGGCGGGACACAAGCAGCACCCAGTCACCCATCCCCTCCTCCTCCCCTCCCTCCCACCCTCCATGGGGTGGTGAGATCCCTGGGGTCGGGAGGGGGACCTGCCCTCTCCCAGGAGAGCCGTGTTCCCCCTGAACCAGCCCGGAGGTCCCACTTACGATGGTCTGCGTGTACTCCTGCAGCTTGGGCTCATCGTAGGGCCTGTTCGCCTTCTTCAGAAGGTCCGACAAGAAGCCCTGGAAGGAGAGGACTTTGTTGGCTGTCCCTGTCCCTGGGTGTCCCACAGCGGGGATGCCGCACAGGCAGGGACCCAGCTCAGCCCACCCCATCCGTGCCCACAGCTCACCTTGAGCTCGTTGGCTTCGATGTAGCCGCTGCGGTCCGTTCGTACCTGCGCCAAGCCTGCCAAGCAACCGCCACGAATGTTAGAGAGGGCTTGCGGCACATGTTTCTCCCTCGCCCCGACATGTGTGTAGCCCCATAACCCCACGCTTGGAGCATCCCCCACCACCCTAGCAGACATAGGGTCATCTCACGGCTCCCATCTTTTGGTAGCCTCAGCGGTGCCACAGGCTCTCCCTTGGGGCTGGGTGCTTTTGATTGCATCCCCCAACAAAACAATAGTGCCCATTTACCCCCCACCCCATGCCACGGGACGCTTCTTTTTCAGCCATCGCCTCCACCCTGGGTTCATTTTCCAAGCACAAGCTCTCCTCCCCCCAGGATGCTGCACATCCCCCTCCACCCCCAGCCTTGTTTCGGTTCCCATCGGCAATTTCTCTCCCACCCTGCAGATGTGTTCACCCCATGCAAGGGCACAGCAAGGTTTTGGGGTGGCCCAGAGCAGCGTTGTTTGCTTCAGCACATCCCTTGGGCACTAAGGACCAACCACCCGGGAGAGGGAATTTACAGAAATGGCTCCAAATCCCCACAGCTCACCTTGCCCCGAGACCAGGACAAGGTGCCCACCTGCCCCAAGAGGGGCCCAAGGGGCGCTGAGGTCT